TGTAACATATTATTATTAAGTTTGTCATTAAAAATAAAATGCAATTATTAACAAAATTAATGATATTAAATATGTATAGAGGTTTCTGTATGCATATAATGGCATGTACAATATATCATGTTTAATAAAATAATAATAATAACAATAACATAATAACTAACTAGTTCTCTTCTTCTTTTTGAATATGTTAAATAATCGTCCGGTCCCTTTTCCCTTTTCCTCTGTCCCTCCCAATCCTTTTGAGGCCACGCCCCATAGACACTCCTCCAGAATCCGATGACAGAAATCAAACTGTCTCTGATTGGCTACGAGCCCTGGCCTCTGACCCAGTAACCCTCTAAACACAGAGTCTATGATATTAGGATCAGCATCAAACGACTGAGGAGTGTCTGGCATATTCAACAGCTCATAAGCAACTGATACAACACCATAACAACCAGCTCTACCCCCACCATGAGCACTGACTATCACTAGAGGCTAAAGAGGACACATGATATTGTTGCTATGGTTACAAGGGGACTTACCCCTCTTGTCCTCGCTGCTAGACTGTGATGAAACAAGTGACCAACGTGAACTGGACTTTGTGGCACACCTGAAGACATGAACAAAATAATTTACATTAATTATTATACTCCTCTCTCTTTCTCTTTCTCTCTCTCACCATTCTGTGGCCAGGTTGAATAATGAAACAGGCTCAATTGCTCAGTGACATCATCATCATAACTATGTATCACCATGGATACCTCAAACAGTCCCTCTACTCCGGAGGTGTTAGGATGAACCTTATCAGTCCTAACATAGAGAGAGTCAGTGTACCACTCTCCCAGTATCACTGCTGGGTGCAGCTGATAGTCTTCCTTCTCTGGCCAGAAGTTGTTCTTATCATCAGTGTCTCCTAATACTACAATCACTGATGCATTGGTCTCCCAAATCATCCTGTGATGAATATATAATAATTTATATACATGTACATGTAAGATTGTGTGTCAAACATAGAATGCAGGATTAATACAATTAATATCGATTAATCAGGATTAATACCCAACTCAATTGGGATATGGTATATATATGATTAATGATTATTACATGTACTGCATGAATGTGTGTTTGTTTGTTTGTGTTTTTGTTTACCTCCAAAATGTTGGTATTGTGTTTTCCATTGGCCATTGAGCTATGATGTAAGACTTTGGATATAAAGGTGAACCAACAAAACT